TTTCCTCGATTCTACAATCTTTAGAGAGAGTCCATTTCTAGTCCAGATTTCTTCCAAGATGAAAGTCTTCGCTTCCACCTTCAACACTTTCTTCCATCTTTTTGCTCACATGAACTGACCTTCCCTCCCTCTTTCCAAGCTTCCCCCGCTGACCTTCATGTTTTTCTTCGCACTCAATTGTTACTGAAATATTATGTCAAAGCAGCTAGCATGATTCACTGCATTTGCTTTAGTGAATAAGATTTCAAGCAGGCTGTTGGCCCCTCAATGGCTGAAACTCAAGTTGAGTATCTTACCATGCCCTTGAATATCTTATTTTATTTAGTTATTTTATCCACTAAAGGAAAAGCAATAAGTCATTCAGCTCAGAAGCTTCAGCTGTTATCAAACAGCCCCTTAGATGCAATTAAGAATTTAAACCCTGAGTGAAGAATCTAACACAGTAATCTCTGTAAGAGGAGGTAGCTCAAGAGTTCCACACTCAATAAGCATGGATTTGGTTCGCCGAAGCATAAATGCCCCCAATATATATTTTAGAGTTTTGAATTTTTCCTTAACCTTGACTGCATCATGACCTGTTCAGAAACCCACATCATATGATTCATATTTCAGGATAATTGTGTTCCACAAAAGTGACATTTATAAACTAAAGGATAAAAAGACATGCAACAATGAGAGACACATTCCACAAAAAATAGGGCAGCACAATGCACGAGGCTCCGACCAATGCGGGGTCTGAGGAGGGACAGATGTACACATTCCACAAAAATATAAAAAAAAAATGAATCAATTACATCTTACTTTTGACCCAAAAGTCCAGTCATAAAATAACAACTAAGAGATGGTTAAAAGCTGTTGACCAAGGAAAAACAAGCCATACAAATCCAGAGATTATTAACATCTCTGCAAGAGCCCCGAAGAAAATTTGCGCAGCCTGCAGAAGTTTATTCAGAACTCCAACCCCCCCCCCCCCTCTTTCATTTTATCTCAACTGACCAAAGCCTCACCCCAACTATAATGAGTCATCAGTCCCCTATCCTTCATCACATATCATATTAAAATGGCACACAAAATTTTGGCCGAATATTTGGTGGCATGTCAAAAGCTACAATCAAGCCTACCAAATCCTTTACAATTGAGCCTTCTCCTTCTCACAATTCTTCTTAGAGTTCAATTTTCATTAGGAACATTAAAGATATAAGCTGAGGAATAATTGATCTTCTAACTTATTAATGAGAAGGGAAAAAAGAATTGAGTTACAACTTACAACTTTTTTGATAAGCAAAAAGTTCATTGAAATCAACAAGGATAAAAAACTGTTACGAGCGTCCCAGAGGGAGGCGCGAGGTGTAGCCTCACTCTTAAAGAAAAAACAGCAAAAATTTACAATTGAGCCCAATACAACTGATCCCTAATTACTCCTTGGTTAGCTAAAGAATCGGCCAAAGCATTAGCCTCCCTCCCCAACCATTGTATAACCAGATTCATATGTTGTGTTAACCATTTGAACTTCTTCATTTCATCTCTATAAAACCATATCACTGAATCTGGATCTTTTAGCCAGCCCACCACCACCTTGGAGTCCCCTTCAACCACCAGATTCTCCAAGCTCATCTCTTTTGCAATCTGAACACCTTGTAGGACTGCGAACAGTTCAACCTTTAAAGAGTCTCCACCCCCGACCTGTCCTGAATAGCGTGCTACTACATTCCCTCCCTTACCTCTTATGGCCCCTCCAATTCTAGAAGTTACAACTTACAAGAATAAAAATGTGCATGTATGTCATCCCAAGAAAAAAAATAAGGATTACAATAAAGAAAGAGCACTGAGCTAACACACCAAGACAAATTCCTCCCAAATGAAGACAAATAACATCAAAAAAATCCTATAAACCATCACTAGCAATGCCCAGTGTGGATCAAATAACGAAATCAAACATCTTATGAAGTTCAGAGCACGACTCAAGAGTTTTTGTCATTGTCTATGAAGAGATTCCCCTCAAATTCTTTCTTCAAACTAAACAAAATACACAGTTAGGTTCTTGAGGAAGAATAAGAGTTCTCTACAGCTTCTTCCCCTTAAATCATGTAATATGCAAAGATGACAAGAAATCCACTGATTGTTTTTTTGTATATTATACATAAATTGAGGAGTCATACATTATAGTTGGACTCCAGGAATTCCTATACACAAAGACAACATGTTGATTTATCTATTAAATGAACAAACTTAAGCTGATCCTGACCCCCGTTATTACATTCAGATCCAAATGCAATGTGGACAACCAAGACAGTATTTGCTTGTAATAAAAGAAAATAGAAACAACCATTTTCAACAAATTCTTTCATAACCCGTATTAGTTTTTTATTGGTAACTCTTGGGCTTTATTAGATCAGGAAAAGATTGGGATGTGTACAAGATGCCAAGCATCCCTAGGTATAGGCTGGCAATCATCCACCTAAGCCTATCCTACTATTCACATTATAATTGATCCCATCACCATCTTTGAGTCCCTTTCCACCACTGCATCCTTGAAGTTTAGTGATTCGCCTACTCTCTAACCTTATAGGACCACTAGCAGCTCAGCTCTTATAGAGTATCCATAACCAATCAGGCCTGAATATATTGCTATGGTACCATGTTCATCCCTAAAAACCAATACACTGCTAATATGGACCATCTTCATCCCTAAAAACACACCTATGCTGAAGGCCCACAACATTCATAAATGACTTTTTAATATAGTAAATTAGTCTAAGAAACCAATACCACACCCACCCACCATGCAGTTCAAAAGCAGCAAGTTTAATCACATGCAGCATACACCGCTTAGTTTGAATTAGCCAAATTTAAGATCCCAGTTAAAATTGTGACTGAACCCCAACATATGATATCTTCTAGTCTTTCACAAAATGCACAACAGGTGTCCTATTACCTACATATTTTGAACATGATAAAATAATTATAGCCAAAAAACATTATTTTATTTTCAACAAATAGCTTTATACAGGTTAAAAGGAAACATTAATCTATTTTAACATGAAAATCAAAATTACCCTTTACAATTAAATGTCAGAGTAAACATCACTATCCAAGTATTTAATGAAAATTATCCTCTACAAATAAAATGTCAGAGTAAACATTACTATCCAAGTCTTTAAAACCCTTGGTAGAAGTTCACAATATGACTTTATACAGGTTAAAACAAAACCTGCTGAAGGATCCCCAGCTTCCTTAAATGTGGAGAGGAATTGTTCTGATGTCCCAAAGACCGATGGCATACAAAAATGCATTAGAGCCCAGAGCTCAGAGAGGTTGTTTTGGATAGGAGTTCCCGTCAACAATAATCGTCTTGGCATAACAAAACGCTGTTCAAGTACATCGTACAGAACCTAGAAATTTTTAACAATTAGCAATCTGCACAAAGTAGTAATCACACTACCTGACTATTACCTTTTTCACATATTCAGTCTGCACAATATGCCTTTCAAATTAAAATTTCATTTTTTTATGTGGAATGAATACATATTGTTGCCATGATATTCCAGATTTTACAGTTTTATCTATTAGCCTCATAGGGCAATCATATTGATGGGGGCACCCATTAAGCACAATCCTCCTACCAAAAATGTAAAAGTAACCCCAACATAATGACAATAGGAATCATTTAGTAGGGGCACTATTGTTTGATAACATTAAGAGTAATTGTAGTTTTTCACTAGGTGAGCTCCTTTTACCAAAAATTGGGTGCATCCCGCTTTACTCATCATCATATATAATGGTTTCAGTAAACAAATAAATGAATATAATTGCCACAATCTTTACAAACATAAAACATGGCATTTCACTAGTCATTAGCATGATAAGCATAAAAAAGAGCAGGATAAGCATATGATCAAAAAATAAAAGTTCACGAATAGATCAGGAAAGTATAATATAGGTCTACAATACACACACTTGAAGGATTTTTAAGTCTCTGAGCTTCGTCAATGATTGCATAGTGCCAAGGAACTTGAGAAAGAAAATCTTGATCCATCAATGCAATGTCATATGTTGTCAAAAACACATCAAAAGGAAAAGCTGATTGTGCCTGTAAACAAATGTAAATAAACAACCATCACCTCAGTGTCTAATGGATTTTTAACAAGTTAAACCAGTGACCAACCGATCAAATGAGAAAATATTAACAATAACCCATGACATTGGACATCCATATATCCATATACCAACCCAACAATAATGAGCCATCTAGCAAGACCACTTACATCTAACAATGAGGATTGTTGTTTTACATGTTCATAAACTGTCTTGCGTTGACTGCACCGAAATTCTTTGTCACCAACATATCTAAGAACCCTTAATTTTGGACAAAAGTTGGCTATCTCTGACACCCAACCATCAGTCACACTTAGAGGACACAAAACCACTGCATAAAAGCAAATAGGAAATGATTTCAACAAACCCCATTGTTGCTAATTGAGTTTACATTTCGCAAGAAAGCCGCAGAAGAAAACAATATAAAAAGCCATTATCAAACTCACAAAATGGTCCAGGTGACATCTGGCGAACCTTCAAGTAGCTCAAGAAAGTAAGAGCTTGCAAAGTCTTCCCAAGACCCATCTGCCAAGAAATCATTTAGCTTCAATGTTGTCTTAAGTAGCATGTGTACTATTAAAAGAATTATAAGTTAAAGAAATACTGAGCCAAAAAATATATAAATAAATAAGTCAAGAAACCAAGGGGCATGTCAAGTCTTCCTGCGGTGTCTTTCGAGGTTTTCAAAGGTCAGAAGACCAAATTGGGTCTTTTCTGTTTGGCAAGAAAAGACAAAAAGCCAGAAAGACATGATCCCCATAAAACTCGCAGAAGCCCAAAACACCCGAAAATTGGGAAGCTTCAAATGAAGCTTTTAGTCTTTCCATGCCTAAAATATCCTCTACTCCGTTTTTATCAGCCCGGTTGACCAGGATACATACCAAACGGTATTGGTCTTTAAAGACAAGCACCAAAAGCTCAGTACATCTTTTGGTCCGCAGGGAAAAGATCTACTTAAAAAGACTTGCCAAACAGCCCATAAAATAAACACACAGAGCAAACTAGAAAGCTTTGTTGATCAATGGGAATTACCTTAGTTATCAAAAGGCTCTTCTCTTTTACTGTGGATAATCAATAGAGAAAACAGCTCATAAATATTAATGAGCAGGTAGGAAAGCTTTGAGAAAAAATCATAATTGACAGGGAAGATTTCAATTGGCTGTACCTAACACAAACAACAATAAATAAAGTATGTGACACTAACAGGGGCCACCTGATAACAAATGAAGTGGCTGAACTGAATGACTGATTGCTTCATCATTTTGTGAATCAAGTAGGTCTCACTTTAGCTGGTAATCCAAGATTGGCAAACAGAAGAAGAAGGAAAACTATGTGGCCAAATTGGAGATGGATGGGGAGATCACATATCAGGATGAAATAGCTAGAACTTTCGTTAATTACTTTATATCCATTTATAGAAGACCTTTGAATGAGAGATTACCTCTGGAAGGGTTAGATTGGCCAAGGTTGGGAGAGGAAAAAACAAGCCGGTTGAAAAGGAGGTTTGAGGAAGAAGAGATAAGGAAGGTAGTGTTTTTGATGGATAGATCTAAGGCTCCGGGCCCTGATGGTTTTACAATGGCATTTTACCAAAATTGCTAGGAGGTGCTGAAGGATGACTTATTTGAGGTGTTTCAGGAATTTGCAGATACATACATAGTGAGTCCAGGAATCAATGCCACTTTCTTGGCTTTAATCCCAAAAAAGGTTAGCATTGCTCACCCTAAGGATGTTAGACCAATTAGTTTGGTGATCAGTATTTACAAAATTTTAGCCAAGGTTTTGCCCTTGAGACTTAAAGAAGTCCTTCCATCTCTAATTAGCCAAGCCCAATGGGCCTTTGTACAAGGGAGACAAATTAATGATCAGATTTTGATTGCCAATGAGTGCGTGGAGGAGATGAGAAGATCAAAAAGAAAAGGCTTTGTATGTAAGTTGGATCTTGAAAAGGCATATGACTTGGTGGATTGGCAATTCCTGCTTCATGTCTTGAGAAATTGTGGCTTTGGAGGAAGGTAGCGTAACTGGACCTTTGGGTGCATTAGTTCCTGTAACTACTACATCTTGATTAATGGAGTAGTGAAGGATTTCTTTCCAGCCTGTAGGGGTTTTAGGCAAGGTGACCTTCTCTCACCATTCTTATTTACCTTAATAGCTGATGTGTTTAGCATATTGATTTCAAAGGCTGACAGGGAGGGTGTAGTTAGAGGGTGGAGAGTAGGTAGAGAGGAAATCCCAGTTACCCACCTTCAATTTGCAGATGATATACTAATTCTTTGTGAAGGAGGGATATCGAGAAGGTGAGGAATCTCAAGATGTTGGTAACAAATTTCGAAAGGATATCCAATTTAAAAAAATTAATCTTGATAAGAATTGAGTATCAGGGGTTGATTTGGAATTAAGAGAGTTGGAGGTTATCATGGAGTGCCTTGAGTGTTCCACCTCTGCTTGGCCTATGTCATACTTGGGGCTTCCTTTAGGGGCAAATCCTAAAGAGAGTAGCTTTTGGTGCCTAGTTGTTGAGAAGTTTGAGAAAAGATTGGCCTCATGGAAAAGAATTATATCTCCTTGTGGGGCGAATAACATTGATCAAAGCCACACTAGCCAACCTACCAATTCCTTCTAGGGAAGTCAAAAAACTAGAGAAGCTGATGAGGGATTTCCTTTGGGAACCGGGATAAAGTAGGAAAGATCACTTAATCAAGTGGGACGTGGCTTGTATGAGTAAAGAAGAAGGGGGGTTGGGATTGGGGAATCTAATTCAAAAGAACCAAGCTCTTTTGGGGAAATGGTTGTGGAGGTGACCTTTAGAGAGAGAAAGGTTGTGCCACGAGGTGATAGGAAGCATTCATGGTCATGTAGGAAATGGGTGGGATGCTGGTGTATCTCGACGGGCAACTTTGGCAACTCCGTGGAAGGCTATTCACAGTATTCTCCCTCTCTTCCTCAACCTTATCAGGTATGATGTGTGTGCTGGAAACTCAGTTCTTTTTTGGGATGATATTTGGATCGGTGATTTACCTCTAAAGGACCTTTTTCCTTCCTTGTTTAGCGTCTCTTTGTACAAAAATGAGTTTGTTTCTAATTACTTCTCCTCTCTCGAAAATCCCCTGGCACCAAACTGGGATTTTGGTTTTCGTAGAGGTTTGAGGGATGGGGAAGTTGAGTGTCTCACCAGTTTGTTGAGTCTTCTTGATAACATTTGTTTGGACTCATCTCAACCAGACAAACAAATTTGGTCTCCACGGCCAAAAGGGTCGTGGCCTTGGTGAAACTATGTAACAATGGTTTATCCCATTACATTAAAACAAAACAATTTACCTTGACAGTCTTGGTGTCCATGATGCAATTCTTAAGGCTGAACTAATTTATATTACAGCATACTAATGGTTTTTAAAATATTAAAAAAAAATAATACAATTAAATACTCAAAATAGAAGTTCAGAGTGGCAATATCAAAATAGAGCTGCAATAGAAGTTGCATCGTCATCCAAACAACAATAACAGCAACAGCAACAAATGATAATGATAATTACAATTTACAACAACAACGAAAAGGCAATTGGAGATGATGACAAAGTAACCAAAAATTATTTAAACAATACGGTGGAGGGAAATAAACGAGATTTAAAAAACTAATCCAAACTTCGAAATACTCAGGTACCCTCCCCCTCACAGAACGAATGAACCGTACCTCGTCACCTGAAAGGAAAAAATATATATATACAATCAAATGTAGAACTACCGTTATACGAAATGGCCATATGCATAGATGGGAAATTGAATGAAATGTGAATGGCAACAGGGGGAGCAACAAGAAAACCCTACCGAGAATGACATTGACGCCAAGAATATATCTACGTATAAGCCACAAGACTCCTTCCACCTGATGAGGTTTCAGTGATGCCGTAACCCCAAACTCAGCACCATCTAATGGCGACGACTTCTCGACGTCTAGGTCTCTCGAGAGGATGAACTGGGCCGCTGCTTTGAGCCTCTGCAAGTAGCTCATCTCACTGTATTGCTGTACTTTTGTATACACACCGAAATCAGTTTATACGACCTCTGTGCATTCGCAAAGTGTATACTACTGTACTGGAAGTGGAGACTGGAGAGCGAATGTGAGATTGAAGGGGTTGTGAAGAGGGAAATAGAGACTTCTTCCGTTTGAAACGTGCTGTAGAAGCGAGTAAACCGACAACCATTGAATGACAAGAAAAAAAGGCTGATCTACAGCTTACATAAACTGCCACCGGCTAGGGTGTTCACGGTCCGATTCGACTCAGATCAAACCAGTAAGGGATGTGATAAATTCTCAGACCAAGCCGTATGAAAATTAAATCAGACCAAACTGTTTTGTTGCGGTATGGTGTGGTTTTTAATATAGTTTGGGCCATTTTATAATCCTATTGGGATTAATTCAATTAAATTAAAAAAAAAAACAAATAACACACTTACCCACTTAGTCTTTTTTTTTATGTGCATGTATTTTCATATCAATAACATAAAATAAGAATTTATTATAGGGTAAATTTCTTAAATTACTGTTATGGTTTAATTAATTGACTAATTATACTTACTTTCAACTATTGTCTTCACCACCCTTATTATTATTTTTAACAATTGTTATTGTCGTTAAATTCTAACATAAAGGATGAAAAGTCAGTTTTGCCCTTTCATTAAATCTCGTCCATCTTTCCAAAAACGTCAGCACCTCCTTTCTATATCATCATCATTGTAACCGAAATCCCCATCACCTATTGAACCGTCATATGTTCTCGACTAATCAGAATCCCCACCACTTGTCGAATGGCTAATCTTGTTCGCTCTTTACGTACTGTTGGCATTCGTCGTCCCTACCCGTCATACCAGAAACCCTTTTACCGTTTCCATTCACATCTATTATGATTGACAGTGTGACTAATTGTTAGGGTCCGAGTGGTATCCGCTGGTTTCCAGCAATGATGATTGTTAGGGGACAAGGACTCTAGTGGCTACTGGTATAATCAACTCTGAGAAATCCAAAAGGAATTTTCAAAAGAGAAATCCAATTCTCTTTTGTGGTGTGCCCTTAGGATTATATGGGGGAAACACTACGAACACACTAGGTTACTAACGTCATCCTCTTTCTCTTGTCGGAGAGGATAACGAAGGGAGATCTACGTAGGATTAAAGGGGGGAATAGTAACCTTTAATCCTCTGCGGAGGTTACTGATGTTCCTCTACGCCACTCCTATTCGGTACTCTCATCATCAGTCTGTTCTTCATCGAAGACGATGAATAGTAACCTTTCACTCTATTTAGCTTTTGTGGGAAGCAACCGGAGGACTATAAAAAGCCCAATGAACTCCTTAAGACATGTTTCTCCAACAAGTCAGAAAAATGGAATCTCCAGTAGTAGCTAGGATAGTTTGCTCCCTGAGGGATCTATATTCTCGTCAAAGGGACAACGAACGAATGATGGAAGGCTACCTGAGTGAGTGGTGCACCACGACTTGGGTCATCAACGATCTTGGTGAGGACACCCTTGAGGTATCCATTGTGCTCACCAAGGTCAAGGCTTTCGAATATGGTCAGTCCCTTCTGGTGGTGGGTATGGGACTTAAACACTTACAATGCACTATGACCCAACACCTTTACGTTGATCCAATACCCATCCTTCTTATCGCTACGCTCTGATCACACAACCCATTTCCTAGGATTAGAGTTTTGCAACGGCAAGGAAGATGCTTTCATTCCATCTCTTTCATTCTCCATCTCTTTTCCCTCTTTATCCCATTCATCTTCTATCTCAATCATCTGCATTATCTGTTTTGACGCAAATCTGAAGCCATCGGCTCTACCATCACCGAAGACACCTCCAGATGGAAACGCTAGATCAGAGGACTGGTGTAATGAGGAGCTCATGGGCAGTGATTCTTACTCAACTTACAAATGAGGGGCGAAGGGGTATATTGGATTTTAAAAATATTATTAGTCATGTGGTGTCACGTGTGTAAAGATTTTGATGGAACATTAACAAATGCTAATGGCAGGGGTAGAGCTAATCAATTGTCATAAACAGTAGGGATAGTTTAAGACAATAGTTAAACAGTAAGGGTACAGTTTGTCAATTAGCTAAACAGTAGGGGTAGTTTAAGAAATTTACCCTTTATTATATATGCAATATTATATATTTATACATGCATATATTTATAATATATATTATTTCAATTTACAATTTATGGTTTTGGTTTGGTTTATTGGATATATAAACCAGACCAAAACCATAAACCATAATTTAGGAAGATACCAAATTGAATAAAACTGTTTTGTAGTGTATAAACGAAACCAAACTACAAATTTGATTCAGTTTAGATCATTTTTGTGAGTTGGGTCGTATAATGAACACCCCTAACCATTATGCAAGGGCTGCAAAGCACGATTCATTTAAATTCTAAACCAAATTAAATCTTACCCATTCAGACTCAAATGGGATTCAAATTGCATAAGATCTTGAAAGGGATAATTACTTATATACCCTATATGTTTAGGAAACTAAATGTATCATGTAATTTCTAAAAAAAAATGTATATATATGTTAACACTCAATTTTTGCTCAGTCCCCCCTTTGAGGACCCACTCTTCACATTCAAAATGCCCAATCAGACCCCACCATTCTCTCCAAAACATGTCAAAACCCTAAAAGACCAAATTTTGATTCAAACACCCTCAAATCCACCGTTAAACTATAAGATTCCCTCCTAACGACCATGATTGCGCCCCATTACCACACCTATCACACACGATCAGACCCCATCATATGAAACAAAATCTATAAACATCAAATCACAACAAATTTCAGCTATAAATTCATTGATTTCACCATCCACCTATCAAAGACTCCATTTTGACAAATTGGACACAATGAGTAAAACCCATGATCCAAATCTCAACCTTAAATTCCCTGGTTTTGCCATCCACCCATTGAAGATTCCATTTTGACGAATCAAACACTACGACTAAAACCCACAATCCAAATACCCTGGACATGATCAAAACCTTCATCAACCTCCCGATCGACCACCAGTCAAATTTCAAATCTCAAAGTGACCATTTCATCATTCATTTAAAAAGATTCATAATAGACAAATCTTATTGGCAACCACCATCCAAATTCAAGATCTCTGTCGTAACATATAATCCAAAACCTCCAAACCCATCAAAATCTCCATTAACTCTCCGATCAACCCATCACCGAATTTTAGACCTAAAACTTTCATTTTTCCACTATTACAAAAAAGATTATGATTTAAGCCCTCTCGTTACTCGTTACTATCGGAGCCACAAATCTGTATCACAATACATCTTCCAAGACCCCCAAACCTTACCAATGCCTTCCTAAAACTCTCATTGACCACCCATCAAATTTTAGCCCTTGAAATATCCGCTTTACCTCTTTATCATACAAAGATTCCATTTTGAGCCTTTTTATTGGTTGGACCACCCGTACATCAAATTCCCTTGATCCGAACACATTTGAATAGATAAAATCTTATCAATTCATCCAACACATTAAAAAATCCAATCCTACAAAATTTCAACTCAAAATTCCTTGATCTACTCATCCATCGAACGGAGATTCCATTTTAAACATTTTCATCGATCGGACAACTTGTACCTTAAATTCCCTCGATTCGAACACATTTGAATCAATCAAATCTTATCAATTTGTCCAAGACATTCAAAATTCCAGTCCTACAAAATGTCAACTCAAAATTCCTTGATCTATTCATCCATCGAACGAAGATTATATTTTAGGCTTTTTCATACGTCAGATTGCTTGTATCGCAAATTCCCTTGATCCGGACACATTTAAACCAATCAAATATTGTCAATTCATCTAGGACACTTAGAAATACTATCCTATGAAATTTCAGCTTAAAATTCCGCAATCTGCTTGTCATCAAGCAAAGATTCTATTATGTGCATTTCTATTGGTCGGACCACCTATACTAGCTTAAAAAAATTGAAATGTCTTATGGTTTACGAGTCTAACGATCCAACCATCCGGTTTGATATGGGTTGGTGTGAATTTCATTTGCACTGGTAAGGGTGTCAATTGGACCGGATTTGGTCCATTCTAATCCAATTCAATGTGAGTCCATTAAAAATGGACCAGGACTAATCCAATTCAATGAATGTTTTGGACCAATTTGGATCGATCCAATTCAACGTCTGGACTATCCAATTTGTTCAAATTAATTTTGATTTAGATTGATTTCAACCCAAACCCGATCCATTGACACATATATTCTTATCTTACATCAATGGACCGGATATTGACTTAATCCAACCTAATCTAATATAAATTTGTTATGGACGGACCAGGTCCAATCCAATCTAATAAATATTTTAGACCGGATTGGTCCAATCCAATATGTCTTGTTGGTCTGTCCAATCCATCCAAATTGATTTTGGACTAGACGGAGTCCAATCCAAAACCAGTCCATTGACACCCTTATGCACTGGTATAAATTTTTATACCATAGAAGTGCAAATAGGCTAAGTCGAAACAGGAAGTAAAATGAAATACTCCCTATTTTAAGTTGAAGAGAATGGAGGTAGGAGGAGGAGGCAATTTGTTTGGAGTATGTAGGAGATAAGATTATATGGATACTTCATGTAGATATAAGTATATCCAAATTTGATTCCTTAATATTCAAATTCAAACTAGATCATATTTAGGGAATATTTATTGGATTTGAATAATATTCAAATTACAAGATGACATTGAATGGTATACATAAACAAAACAAAACTGATAAAGATATTATATATTATTAATAAAATAAATTAAAATCGACTTAAATATTATATTTCATGAACAAATGAAATGGAAATTACATGAACAAATGACAATATAGTAAAAACATAACGACAAAACCAACTATACCAACAAACACCAAATCAAATTCAAATCACCTGANACATGAACAAATGACAATATAGTAAAAACATAACGACAAAACCAACTATACCAACAAACACCAAATCAAATTCAAATCACCTGATCGAATTCAAATTCCAATTTGGACAATTAGATACTGTTTGTAGTCCTTTGGACAATCAGACATTGCTTCTAATCCTAGTAGTCCTCACTTTACAAGAGAGAATTGATGTAGGTGGAACTATGGAAGGTGGTGCAAATTTTGCATCAGCTTTTGAGATGTAAAATTTGCATTATCAATGAATGCAAATGAGACAAAAAGGGAAAATGACACTTAAACTCACTTAACAAATTTTAATCCCTCAAATAGTAATAAGTTAAATGGGGAGCTACTGCAAGCCTCCTCA